CACACTAACATACAGACAAGAATCGCCAGCAAACAAACATTTTCGGAGAAAACGGTAGGAAATAATTTTATTTGTGCTTAGTTGTAGAGTATTTCGTTTACAGATAGAGCTATGTAAGAATTTAATGGCTACGCGAAGGTATTTTCTGATAAAGAAAAGAAAAAAGGAAAATGAAAACTGTCGGTGTCTCGATGAAACCCAGATATTACGTCAAAAAGCTGGACGGGTTTATTTCTTGCAACAAGAGACTTTATTGCTGTGGCAAGCGGAGTAAATTATGATGGAGGATATATTGGCTTAGTCGGGAGAGTTCACACGAAGGCAGTGGTCTCTTTCATTTTTTCTTTTTTATTTTTCACTTCCATCTGTTAAAAAAGTCAAAACGCGAAGAAAGATGTGAAGTTCGTTTCACAAGTGCTGGAAAGCTACTACAAGAACTCAAATCCCAGCATATTCTGAAAAAGAGCTCGTTAATTGATAAACTAAGCATTGTATTGCTCCCACGAAGCGACAATACTCGAAACTTCAGTTTTTCAAACTTCGCTGCGGTGGTTTTCGCTTCTTTTATAAACTCATGGTTGATTATTAACCAAGTTTTTCCTTTTGTTCGACGATGCAGCAGCGTAAGCAAATCTTTCAGAAACTGGCAAGCTCCTATCTCATGCCAAGGTTACATGCAAGCGTTCTTCAGCTTCCTGCAAATATCGCGGAGATATATTGGGTGAAGATAGAATGAAACGGTCGTGTTAGAAATCTGACTCAAGTGTGAAACAAATCCTGATTCCCGGCGAAGATTCCAGCCTCAGCCACTTAAAGCAGTCCCTGACAAACTACGACTACACTTTTTTTCTATTTCATTAATATTTTTGTTCAATAATGCAGTTTGAAAACTGTTTGTATTCCGCGTGGTAAATGAAGCCTACCGTTTCCACCCAAGAAAGCGTTTTCACATTCCACTCAACTGTCTACATTTCGCTGTTTACATTTGTTTTCTCACTCGGTACTCAACTTTCCATTTCAATCGTTTTTGTAACGCCAGTTGCATGCACCGATAACTTGAAAATTATTCATGAATGTGTTCAAAAGGCAATATATATCTTGATGTCACCACTTTGCAACTTGAAAAGTTTGGTAACTCTGGCCGTTATAATTGAGTGAGTATCAGAAATCAGTGAAACGAGTTTTTGCCGATAGGATCGCAAAAGTGTTCGAAAGCAAGTAGGAGACTAACAAGGAATCCGAGTCTTGAATAATTGATCAGTTTAAACAAACAAACCAAAGCGTATGGACCTGACTAAGATGTAAAATTTCAGCTTGGTCGTTCAATAAGAAAGATCTCTTATCATCAGTGTTGGAGAAAGAGCCAGGCTTAGGGACGCAGACAAATTTGAAATTCTATACCTCGCACTTCCTTTGAATAAATATTTCATAAGGAATCTGTTAGATATTGGATCACTTTATTGGCAAGCCAACGATCCAATTGGAAAGTATCGTTTTCAACAAAACCTTATACTGTCCAACTCGAACAGCTGAAAATTTTCATGCGCTTTGCTAAAAACTCTAAGTTGAGTTTTGCGGAAAAACTTCTCATTTATGACAGGTTATGGTAGGTTTTCTCACTCGGTACTCAACTTTTTATTTCAATCTTTTTTGTAACCTAACTTGCATGCAAGGATAACTTGAAAATTCTTAATGAATGTGTTCAATTAAAAAGTAATATCTTGATGTCCCCACTTTGCAGCTTGAAAACAAGGAGTCGGAGTCTTGAATAATTGATCACTATAAATAATTTTTCAACTAAACAAAGCGTTTGGACCTGACTAATGTTAAAAATTATGTCATGCAGGACCGGAAATAACTTTGCAGCCCGCAAAAATTAAACGAAGTATTCCGGCATCTTTTCAAGTTCTATGCTTTGCCTTACTGGAAACTCCAACTCGAAAATCCGGCTCGAAATCCGACTCAAAATCCTAACTCGAAGGAGTGTTTGCTCAAAAGCAGAATTTCGAGTTCGTATTACAGTCGCCACAATTGGTTCTCGATCGCTGTTCAAGTGACTGCTCGATAACGGAGAAAGTCCAAATCCTAACTCGTTAACAGCTCATTCAGTTACTAACTATCCTATCAGATACAGCTCTAACCAGCCTTTCTCCATTATATTCATTTGATATTGCATTTCCTGACCATAATGCAAATCTAGCTAATGGAAAAAACCGCAATAATCGAATGACAACATACGTTTTGGTATTAAAAAATCATCCGTTTTCTTCGAATTTGGGGTCCAGTTTGGTAAATATATATGACTTTTTTGTGCTTGCAATTCTTAAACAATAAACAAATGAAAATAAAGTCAAATAACAAAGATAGAAGCATGCATGTTGATCGTGAACTCACGAAAAACCAGTCTACGGATTAAAAAGAAGTTTAGGGTAAGTTTTAGCCCAGAAGATTATTTGCTTTTCCTTTTCAGGGAACGTTTTTTTCCCAAAACATGCGTTGAGCAAATGTGAGTATTTCCATAGTAACTTTTGACCTGTTTCTTTATTAGAAGGTGCCATACGAATCACTCAGAACTTTTTCCATAGTCCTGAAAGGCTGCAGAAATGTTAACGTGAAGTTTCTTGACTGATTGAAAACTTCAAATTGTGATAAATTTTAATAGCCATTATTCTCCTGGGTAATTTCTCATTAGGCAGGTACAACAACAGGATAATCGTATCCAATGTGAATAAGTTCCTTCCCACCTGTTAATAAGGTCGGACAGCACCTGCGTTGTTATCAAAGGCAAGAGCTGCATTAACATACAGACAAGAATCGCCAGCAAAGAAACATATTCGGAGAAAACGGTAGGAAATAATTTTGCTTGGGCTCAGTTTTAGAGTACTTCATTTACAGATAGAGCTATGTCAGAATGGTATGGTTACGCAAAAGTATTTTCTGGTAAAGAAAAAAAAAGGAAAATGAAAATAGTCAGTGTCTCGATGAAACCCAGAAATTATGTTAAAAAACTGGACGAGTTTATTTCTGGCAACAAGAGGCTTAATTACTGTGGTAAGAGAGTAAATTATGATGGAGGATGTAGTGGATTAGCCAAGAGAGAAACGTGAACTAAAGAAAGATGAGAAATTCGTTTCACAAGTACTGGAAAGCTACTACAAAGACTCAAATCCCGGCATAATTGTGACCCTCCACCGGAGTTCAAGGAATAAGGTGAACGCACGCACACGGTACGCTCGCACGCTAAAACAAAATAACTAGCTTTTAACACGTTAGGTGCGTGTTAGTTACTTGCCTCATTAACTTCGCAGCCATTCTCTTGCTTCGCACGGTAGAAGCAAAGGCGCGTGTTAAGATATTGCTCGCAACTTTACACGATACAAAACAATGACCGTGCCAATTTTGGAACACGCCTTTTAAAGTCACAGTTGCTTTCGATTCGTACACGGAGCCGGAAATCTGTTACTAAAGGATTCACAAAGATTCGATACTGGGCTTATTAACTGCGTGAAGCAATAAGGATTTATATTTTACAAGGTAGGAATTAATTTAAAAAAATAATTCATGTGTTTAAAGCGAGCTCTTCCGGACCCTGTGAAACACGCCGTACTCATTGAATTCCTTGTGAAAATCCTGAGGGAAAGAGCCGTGATTTGCCGTGAATATTTCTTTTTTTTTATTACAACTTTCGGATAGGACAGAAGATCTTCCGCATTTCCGCTTATATTCTGTAAGTAATATACTTTAAAACACTATTCTCACAATTAATGCCATTATCGTGCGAGCGTTTTATAACGTGTCGTGTGCGTGCGTTCACCTTATTCCCTGAAACCCAGTGGAGGGTTACATATTCTAAAAAAGAACTCATTAATTGATAAACTAAGCATTGTATTCCTCCCACGAAGCGACTATACTCGAAACGTTAGTTTTTCAAACTTCGCCACGGTGGTTTTCGCTACCTTTATAAACTCATGATTGATTATGAACTGATTTTTTCCTTTCGCTCGACGATGCAGCAGCGTAAACAGATTTTTCAGAAACTGGCAGCTCCTGTCTCATGCAAAGTTTACATGCAAGCGCTCTTCAGCTTCCTACAAATATTTCGGAGGTCATTTGGGTGAAGATAGAATAAAACGGTCGCGTTAGAAGTCTGACTCAAGTGTGTGATATATACTGAACAGCTGAAAATTTTTTGTGCGCTATGCTAAATTCTCAAGGTTGAGCTTTGCGGGAAAATTACGCATTTATGGCAGATTATATTATGTTTTCTCACTCGGATTTGTAACCCCACCTGCATGTAAGGATAACTTGAAAATTCTTGATTAATTTAATCAAGGAACAATATCTCGAATTCCCCACTTTGCAGCTTTAAAAGTTTATTAACTCTGGCCGTTATAATTGTGTGAGTATCAGAGATCAAGGGAATTTTTGCCAGGAGGATCGCAAAGGTTTTCAAAAACAAGTAGGAGACAATCATGGAGTCGGAGTCTTGAATAATTTTTTACTATGAACAATTCCTCAACAAAACAAAGCGTATGGACCTGACTAACATGTAAAATAATGTAATGCAGGACCGCAAACAATTCTGTAGCCTGCAAAAGTTAAACGAACTATGTCGGCATCTTTTCAAGATATTTTCCTTGCCTTACTAGAAACTTCAACTCAAAGATCCAGCTCGAAATTCGACTCAAAAACCTAACTCGAAGGAGTGTTTGCTCAAAAAGAGAGTTTCGAGTCCGTATCACGACCTCCAGTCGCCAACAATCAGTTTTCGATCGCTGTTCAAGCGACTGCTCAACAACGGAGAAACTTCAAATTCTAACTCGTTAGCAACTCCTAAATTACTATCCTAACTGATACAACTCTAACCAGCCTTTCTCCATCATTCATTTCATATTGCATTTCCTGAAAACCAGTCTACGGATTAAAAAGAAGTTTAGGGTAAGTTTTAGCACAGAAGATTGTTTGCCTTTTTCTTTTCAGGGAACGTTTTTTCCCACATCATGCGTCGAGAGGAAATGGCCAAAAAGGTCTTGTACGCAGTAGGGCTGTTGATCAAAACCGTGCTGTTATGCTGTACAGCTGCACAGCAATGGGAGGCTACGGGCCAGCCAGAAGTTTCCAAATTTGGGATGATGCTACAACGCCATATCTTCAAGAGGATCACGGGGGCAGGTCTTTCAGATGTGTGCTTGCGGGGATGCTATGCTGACGTCAGATGTCAAAGTTTCAACTACGTCTTTACGCAAGACATTTGTGAGCTGAGCAACCGAACTAAGGAGGCCAGACCAGAGGATTATGTTCCGAACCCTGAGAGATTTTACTTTAAGCGAGATTACAAACGAGGTTTGTAAAATTTTTTACTGTCTTCTTCCCTTTAAAGACATTTTCAGAGTGCAGAATTTCAACCCAAAATAAATAAATTGTGTCACATCACTTCCCTTTATTGCCTTAAGTCAAGTCGCCCTCAAATTGAGTGTCCTCGCCCCCAAGACGAACATCAAATCTTGCTTACTTGGAATACTATGCCACTATGATTTCTATTTCTTCCAGTCCCTCTCGGTTCCATTCCTGAGCTGCCTGCGGAGACTTGCCAGGAAATCAAAATGAGCGAAGGAGGACAAGCGGTCAGCGGCAAATACTGGTTTCACTCGATTGTACCCGAGAGGACTGTTCTGGCTCCTTGTGACATGAAAACCGAAGGTGAATTCAAGCGTTTATCAATTCACATCTTCTACAGACAAAAGTCGGTTAACCACGAGCAAAAACGTTGACAGAGATGTTATGGGTAGACTGCAACCACCTGACCCCCCACTCCCCCCATCCCAATATTCATAGAGGGAAATGAGAAAATAAAGCAAAACAAAATAAAAATAGTAAGATATCTGACGGAAACAAAGCTTTGAAGGAATGCTATAATCTCTCTTAAACTGAACGATTTGAGAACAAGTCAAATAGAATGAAAAAATTTCTTTTTTGACACAGAGATAATCATTCAATAGCAAATTGCTATCACAACTTTATAGTGACGAAATTTAACGAATAGGGAAGGGGAAATTTTGCTTCCTGATGGGGTCGTACAAAGCAAAAATTTGGCTCCCGCCGGAAGCAATTGGCGAATACCCTCCTTTTTGCTTTTAAACTAACCGCAGACTATTCCGTTTTTTCAGACGTGGACGAGTGTAATTCGACCATTCCCGTGTGTGACGTCAACGCTGAGTGCGTGAACACCGTCGGTTCTCACAGTTGCTCGTGCAAAGCTGGTTTTACTGGAAACGGAAAAAAGTGTGTCGGTAAGTTAGTGAAATGACGTTCACTATTGCCTGAAGCAAGTCATTTTAAAACAAAGCAAAACCAAAACAATCCCGGCTTAATCTGGACACTCGATTAAAACAAATTGCTTAGATAACCGATTGGAATTATTTCTCACACCATGTCACGTTCAATTGCTTATACGGCGAGACGCTTCGCCAATAACAGTCATTTTCGATCTACTATTGCTCTTGAGCTCAAGCCATTTAGTTTTTTATACATTCTCTCAGATGTCGACGAATGTGCCAATAAATCGCATGACTGTGACGCCAATGCCTCTTGCAACAATACCGCTGGTTCCTATCGATGCACCTGCAATTCCTGGTACCAAGGAAACGGAACAAGCTGCTATTTTCGTGAGTTTAACTAATATTGAGATACAAGTGACCTCAGTTTGTTATGATACTCGCATTTCGCATTCTCTGTCTTTCTGTATCGTCATATGAAGCTTACAATTTTGGAAATATATTTTTTTAATATGAGTCGGTCCTGAATCGAGACCAAGATGGAATTCGTCCCAAAAACGGGCTGCATTATGACCCTTTACTCCTTAGCATCAGTACAGATATTCTCCTCGCTGTTCTCTATGCATACCGTGTGGTGCTGCCAAGGGAATTTGTTTGAAAATCAAGAGCTTTATAACTTGATGATTATTTCCTTTATTCCCATGATTCTGATGTTTGGTTCGGCTGTAATACGGTGAGGAGAAGTTAAATGCCAAACCCTCTTAGGGGTTAAAGGGTTGAAGAATACGTCTCACTTGGCGCCTAACTTACCACCCCCCCCCCCTTAAAAAAGAAACAGTTTCATTGATCTTTACAGTTTGTTGCTTACAACTATGTCGAACTTTCTATCTTGATCAGCCGAATCACTCAGAACTTTTTCCATAGTCAAAAAAAGCTGCAGAAATGTTAACGTGAGTTTTTTTGACTAATTGAAAGTTTCAAAATGCGATTAATTTTAGTAGCCATTATTCTCTTTGGTAATTCCTCAATAGGCAGGTACAACAACAGGATAATAGTACCCAATGTAAATAAGATCCTTACCACCTGTTAATAGGGTCGAACAGCACTTGCTTCGGTACCAGCTGCTTTTTCGTGAGTTTAACTAACATTGAGGCACGAGCGACCTCAGTTTGTTTTGATACTTGCATTTCGCATTCTCTATCTTTCCTTATCGTTATGTGAAGCTTATAATCCTTTGGAAATTAGCTCTCGAATATATATACTTTTTTAACAAGAGTCGGTCCTGATACGGGACCAAGATGGAATTCGTCCTTTATTCTCATGATTCTGTTGATCATGATTTTGTTCGGCTGTAATAGGGTAAGGAGGAATTATAAGCCAATCCCTCTTAGGGGTTAAAGGGTTGAATTGAAGAATACATCTCGCTTAGCGCCTTACTTACCCTCCCCCCCGCTTAAAAAATAACAGAATCATTGATCTTTGAAGTCTGCTTCTCACAACTATGTCGAACTTTCTGACTTGATCAACCTTAATTATTTTTTTTTCATTATTATCATGTTTTTATCTCGTGGTTTCCTTTAATTCTAAGAAAGCATTGATTGGTGCAAACAACGAGGCGAGATATAATAACGTGTACTGGGTTTAGAAATCTGAAATGTCACACAAACACGCTTTCATTGTGTTAACACGTCTGAAAGGGAGACAACGTTTCCATAAGTGTTCCTCTAGTTCACACGGGGTTGGAAATAGAAGTTGTGCCTCAGATTGATGTGCGTCACACAACGGTTGTCACGCTGTAATTCGTAAAAATGAAAAAGCAAAATGTAGACATTACCACCACCAAGATGACGAATGCAACATAACGTGAAAACGGTAGGTAGGACAATCCTTACCTTTTATCTCTTTTTTGGTTTTTCGTATAGGTGGCCTTAATAATTCCGTTATTCTTACCAACCTCGACTACACCAACTACACAGGTAAGCTACTTTCCTACCTAGAGCCAGTCCTCCTGAGTTCAGAGTGGAGCAGGTTTGTGAAGTGTTGGCATGCTAAGACAGAAGGCTGGGCGGCATCGACATTCCACAGCAACTGCGACGGGAGGGGACCCACAGTAACAATCATCAAAGCGAACGATTCCATATTTGGTGGATATACTGATGTGTCCTGGGGACCAAGCGGTGAGTACGTTTTTGAATAATAAAATTTATATCACTTTTGTATCATACAGTAACATTTAATAAATTTAGGATCTAAATATATTTTCTTTCTAAACTGCACTTAATAAGCTTCCCAAAGCCAATACCAAGGTCATTAAAACGGACCAGTAAAAACAAAGAACAAGAACAAAAGCTGCGCGAGGCGCGAGAAAAACGCCATATACCAAGTCACACCTGGTATAAGACTGATTGACGTATCTCAGTGCCTATATCAGAAGCCCCTCTTCTCTCCCCCCCTTAGGATCTCTTGGTGCGTGGTAATGTTTCTATACGGCTCCACTATAACCCTACAAGTTGCTCACGCTAATAAGACTCTCATAAGGGTTGGTTAACCGCCATAGCGAGCTTATAGAAGCTTCAAAATTGGCTGCCGCCGTACCCACCTTTATTAACTTATACTTGACCACCCCTACGTAGATCATCCCATTTCTCTTTTTAAGTTTTGAAAGACCTGAAGGAATTGTAGGATGGTCTAACAACTGATTAGTAGAACTTACAGTCACTATGTTCTTACAACGTCACCTGGTTTATATAGGTTCATGTCGTAACTCCTATGCTCGGAAAGCTTTTCTCTTCTCCCTCAACAACATCAAAGGATACAATCCTGTGAAGCTGGCACAATACCGATACCAGCATAGCGCAATGTGCAGTTGTTCCTCTTACGGACCCATTTTTGGTTGGGGACGTGACATCATCATATATAACGACGCTGCAAACAATCAACGCTCTTATACTAAATGCGGTGGGACGTACAAAAACCCCACGGGTTATTCATCTGGAGACTGTAAATTTTTCACAGGAGCATTTCGTTTTACTCCATCCGACATTGAAGTTTTCTTCGAAATCGGTAATTATTGTACAGAAACACTTAAAACCCTGTCGTAAATATACGATGAATAAATATACATAAACTCTAATCCTTGGCAACGTTCAGGGATTCTAAAAGTGCATGCGCTGATCATATACAGCAGCGAAATACTATTCAGGTTATGGTGGCGGCAGTGCTAAGTGAATTGTATCTCAGTTCAGGGATATCAGTGCTCATCGACTAAATCAGGGAAAAAATTGATCTAGATGCCATGTTTTGCCATGAAATTGAATCGCTAAGTCGGGCTAAAGCAGACAGTTTAACCTAGCTAAACTGAACTTTTGGTTTTTGCTTTTGGTTTCCCAGTTTTACACCCACTTAAGAAAATGTGTTCTCGTGAAATTTAGTTGATGTGTTTACAAAATAAATGTACAAGGAAATATTTAAGTTTAAATGGGATCACATGGTTAGCACCTCGCCCTGTGAATAAGAAGATCTGGGGCTCTAATTATTTTGAAATACTTTCACGGTTGTGAAAGACGAATAACATCTTTCTTTATTCTAGAACGTCTGTGATGGAAATTTACATTCAAGTTTCTTTTACGCACATAGGTGGCCTTGGTGCATCTACTATACTTGGAGGCCTGGACCCCAATGAATACTTGGGAAAGATGATTTCATTTTTAGACCCAGTTCTTCCCAGTGCATCCCGTACTGACTTTATTAAGTGTTGGCATGCTAAGACTGACGGCTGGGCGGCATCGAAATTCCACAGCAACTGCGATGGGAGGGGACCCACAGTGACAATCATCAAAGTGAACGATTACATATTTGGTGGATATACTGATGTGTCCTGGAGCGGAGGCAGGCATATCAAATTTTTTAAGGGACAAGAAAATTTTATAGGATTAACTATCCTTCCTCTCCGTCCTTTAAGGATTTAAGGGGGGGGGGGGGTGGAGAGGGTGCTGGAGGAAATATTAAACGATGCTCCTGTGATACTAGCTCTAAGCCTTTATTTTTTCATATTAGTGTTTTGGCCATCAAGATTTCTTCACACCAGTGTCGTCTATAGAAATGTTTTCTATGTGATACACCTGCAGAACAACATTACATCCTAAAACATTTGCTTCAAGTCTCAAAAATATTTACTCGCTTTTCTCCAAAGTAACCCCTAAAATCTTCCATAATTGTTTTTGGTACTCGTTTCTATACCCAAACTAGTAAAATATCTCCCTCCCCTTCACAAATCTCTAGTCTGAGAAAAAACTCTTCGTCTAGCTCATGATGGAAAATGAACTCCCCACCCCTCTCCTTCCTGAGGGGGTTTATGTTTTCTTTCAGCTTTTTAATGTACGATTACATTGTTCTTCTATTTCAGCTGGTTCTTGCGCAGGTTATTCCTACGCCAGTAAAGCTTTCATCTTCTCTCTCTATAATGTCAAAGGATACAATCCCGTAAAGTTGACGCAATACCAAAATCAGCAATATGCAATGTACAGATGTAATACGTATGGACCCACCTTTGGTAATCATGATATCTACATATCCGACGGCTCTGGAAACAACCAAAACTCCTACACCAGATGCGGTTACACGTACACGACACCTTCAGGGTACTCAACTGGTAACTGTGGTTTTTTTACAGGGGGGTCTCATTTCTCTCCAACGGACGTCGAAGTATTCTATGAAGCAGGTAATCAAGAAAAACACCCCTTTCCAAGGATAAATACTTAGTAGGGCCTGTAGCAAAATCAAATCGTGTATTGTAGAAATATTCTCAGAAAGTTGTGTTGCTTGAGTACGGATAGCTTACTTTTTTGGAGCTTATTAAGCTTATTTTTTTGTCATTTATTATTAAACTTATTTATTGTAAGCTTATTAAGTCTCTTTCGCAGCATTCATTTAAGCTCGTGACGAGCCTGAGAGGACTTGCCTGAGTTGCAGCGGGGGGTTGTGGGTGTTACAAGAAAATGAAGTTGGTGGGGCCACTTGAAAGAACGCTTGAGCTAACAACAAATTTAAGACATGCTTTGATGCTACTCTGGCTTAAAGATTTAATGGATGTAACCGAGAAGTTACAATTCATAGACCTAAAGTTTCGACACTTAATCAAGGATGGTGATGAAGATACTAGACAGGAGTGTCGAACGTTGGGTCTATGAATTGTAACTTCTCGGTTGCATTAATTAAATCTTTAAACCAGAGTAGCATCAAACCATGTCTGATTGTCCACCTGGTTGCTTTGTGAACTTTAAAACAAATTTCATTCTCTCTGCCGCATAAAATACCGCCTGGTAGACGGTCTGGGAATTTTCTAACTTGCCGGATCGGTAATGTAAGACCATCTAGCCAGCCAAACGAGTGGTGATGAAATTATCTACTTTAGATTCAAAGGCATCACAGCCAATCAAAGCTCTTGTTCCATTTACTTGGCCAACTGTAATTTTTTCCTCTTCTTTTCTCACTTTAGGCCTTGGTTTGTCCGCCATACTTCGAAGTCTTGATTACAACCAGTACTTGAAGGTGCTGTTTTCGTATTTGGACCCAGTCCTTATCAATAGAGAACGTAGCAGGTTTGTGAGGTGTTGGCACGCAGAGACTGACGGTTGGGCAGCATCGACATTCCACAGTAACTGCGATGGGAGGGGACCCACAGTGACTATCATTAAAGTTAACAGTTATATCTTTGGTGGATACACTGACGTGTCCTGGACCAGCAGTGAGTAAAAAACAAGCAAACATCTCTCACTTGTAGAGCAGATAACAAGTCGATTAGTTGTGGAATTTTCTTGTAGCAGTGAGTTCATCTTAGAAACAGAAAATATCACGTTAACAACTGAGATACCAAAGTAGACAAACTCATAAATAGCCTGAAAACGCGTTTGAAACGGGTTTTAACTTAAAGTCTTGTTTCGGATTTGATTTTTGATTTTTGATTTGATTTGATTCTGACAGCTCCATTTCGTGCCATTTCTCCGTGTTTCGTTGTATCCATTATTCATATTGGAGAGCTGAAACGAAGGATGTTTAATTAATGCTCTCTTTAGATCATATGTTGCCTTTGAATAACACTTCGGACCATATTTCAAGTGCTTTTTTTTGAAAAGTGAAAATATGCTCTCGAGTTCTCTAAAATTTTTTCTAACAAATTAAAGTGTTCAGTTCTAGTTCGGCAAGTAAAAAAAAATCATTTTTTATGGTTATCATCATGAATTTTTTTCTCATTCGCATAGTTTCTAATGCTGCTAAATCTTTTCATTTTAGGTCCTTGTGCTTATTCTTCAGCCAGCAAAGCTTTTGTTTTCTCTCTTTACAACGTCAAAGGATACAATCCTGTGAAGCTGACACAATACCGATACCAGCAATACGCAATGTACAGATGTTCCTCTTACGGACCCACTTTTGGTTGGGGACATGACATCATCATATATGACGACGCTGTAAACAATCAGCACAGTTATACTAGATGCGGTGGCACGTACTCCAACCCCACGGGCTATTCAGCCGGAGATTGTAAATTTTTCACAGGAGCATTGAATTTCACCCCATCTGACATTGAAGTTTTCTTCGAAATAATAAACTGAACACAAAAAAACATGCTGTCTCAGTAAGTATCAAGTAATTATAATAACAATAGAGTTAATAGAGTTAGTGTGTTTTCACATAAGGCCCGGTCAACAGAACTTGCATTGTATTCTCTCAGTGCTTAGTCGTTTATTTCGTCTTTAAAAAAGTGCTCTGATTGGTGGAAAATCCATGTTTATTGTACCGATAAACATATAATTTTAACAAAAGCAAGAGACTGCACTTTCTATTCGTTTACTAGCGTGATAAATCATGCAGTATATTGGTGGAACACTCAAAATATTCTTAGATTATGAGCAGTGAAAGAGTGATTTACAAACTTTTTTCGTGTTCTCCCAACATCCTGTGTGGTTTGTTAAGCCAATGAACCGATAGAAAGAGCAGTCTATTGTAAAAAGACAGCGCATTTTAGGCTGGCAAGGTACATTTTAGGGCGATGCATTCCATTGGAAAATCATGCTGTAGACCATTCAGTAACCTATTAGAGCAAAATTAGAAAAATAGTCCAAGAAAACAAACCCTTTCCCCATTACATATGCCTGCCAAATATTTTAAGCGCGCGCTAAAAAGCCGTTGTGCCGTCATATTATTTGCGTCGCACGTGCATTTTGCCACAAGTTGCATAAGTTGTTGAAAAGAGTAGATATGGAAATGTTACCAGTTGAGTAATGTCAATTTTTTAAACTTTCTATAACTTAGGTTATGTTATATGGACATCATTTTAATCATTAATCAATAATTTTTAGTGTTAAAGTATATATATTGTTGTAGCTTGGGTGTTGCACAGCAAGATGGCGAAAGTTTTGCTTCACAAAAGTTAAACACTCGCTTTCAGTGATACGTTCCTACAAGAATTATCGAAAAGAGAAAATTGCTTCTCTCCACTGAAGACTACCACAGAGGCATCAGTGCAAAGATGAAGAGTGATCACGGCCAATTTTCTCTTTGGAAATTCAGTAAAGGCCAAAAATTTCCTTCAGATAAGAACTGAAATTGATCCGGCAGTTAGAAAAATTTGAGAATTAAGAACAGAAATTAGCAAGTCAAAACCCAAATTTGAAAACTGTCGTTGACCTAAAAGCCAGTAATTTCCGCAATTGGAGAACAAAATGTAAAGGATGGAGAACACTTCTCTTTTTTGGCTTAAGAAGCCAAAACTAATTTTTAGCTAGATACCCGTTTTGAATAATTTAATATGTCTGTAATCACCAGAATGCCATTAAATTAAAGAATACTTTTTTTTTGGACGGGGAAAACTAAAGCCCTAAACTCTTTCATGGGCAAAAAATGAAAGTGGCACGGGTTGAGAGAATTTAAAATTTAGAACTCAACTCAAACGAATCGTTGACGCTCAAATCCCTGTGATCAGAACAAAAATTGACCAAGAGATGAACATTTAAATTTCATCAGAAGAGAATTTGAGTCTCATGAGACAGTTTCTGTTCTTATGATTTAAATGTTTTCTCTCATGTTCAATTTCTGTTCTGATAAAGTGGATTAAATTTCTCTGAGTTGTGTTCTTAACTCTTAAATTTCTTTAACCTGGGTTTTCTTTCATTTTTCGCCCATGAAAGGAGTTTAAGACACATCAGTTTTAAAAAAGTTTGGTTGTTTCCCAAAGATAAAGGAATAAATTTGGCATTCTGGTGATATACAGACATACTAAATTATCCAAAAACGGGTAGTCTAGCCAAAAATCACTTCTGGTTTGTGGCGACACAAAAAGAGAGAAGTGTTCTTATAATTCAAATGTTCTTCTCTTGGTTCAGTTGTGGTTCTGATCAGTGACTTTCAGCGTCAAATAAATTCCTCTGTGTTGTGTTCTTAATTCTTAAATTCTCTTCTGCCGGTTTAGTTTCAGTTCTGATGAGAAGAAATGGAAATTGTTGGTTCTTTATAGTAGAATTTGAAAGAAAATATTGGCGGTGATCACCCCTCATAGTACAAAGCCGTGGTTGCATTTCATTTTCCTTCTTTCTCAATTCATACTATGCTTTACCATAACAAAAATAAAAAGGAAATAACAAGAATATAATCATGCAATCCCAATATCAACACATGTCGCCCAAGGTTCAGCTTCTTTTTTTAATCTTATTTAATCATTAGGCTCGACTAGTCTTGTAGATTTTAACCAGTTAGAGGTGTAGCTAAAATATTTAAACGTTTTTATTCTAATGTCAGGGAATATTAAAAAACAGTATGTAGTATGTATGTAGAAGGGTGGTTAGAGGTGGATAGAGACATGAGAAAAAGTCAGTTCCAGTCTTCAAGACAGTAAAGACATGCGAAAGGGCGAGCAAACCACAAACGGCAGTTGTGGTTCTCAGGAAAACAACTGAGTGCCGTTTCTCGTAGGCGGTTCCAGACTGGCTGAGAGCTTGCTACAGACTGAAAGATAAGGAGGTTTGAGATTTGCTTTCAGTCTTACCTAGCCCCGATATTTAACATATGTTAAACTTACCATGAAAAAAACTACAGTTTGTATAGAAACACTTTGTCGGACAGTTGATTCTTTTGACAGAGGTGTGGTTATGTCATCCAGGATGGAAGCCTTTAACAAGGCCTCTGAATGAAATTTCGACCTCACTTGTTCTTGATTGATCAAGCACGTCGGAACCTTAGGTCGATATCGGGTTATACAAAGAAATGGTCAAAGATAATTTAAAACTTATTTGAACATTAAGTTTACATCTGATCATAACTGTGGCTGTCAGAAATCAACTGTAATCTTTTGAATGTAAATAAAACTAAGTTTACCACTAGTTTATTTTCATTGTGTTTAATTGAACCGTATTAAGATAACCTTCGGTCTCAGTTTTCAACGACTGATTGATGTTCGCACGCGCACATTGCTCGCCAGATCCAACGAGTAGTTCCACCTTGGCAAATTTCCCGTTGCTGGACTTTTCTCGCGCTTTTAAGCACCCCCACATTTTCCCGCGCTTACTTACTGCTTTGTTCTTTCTCTCTCTTTTTCCCAATTTCACCCATTCAATGTTTCCCAGCGCCAATCAATAGCTGTATAATTTCCCATGTTCGTCACTTATCAGCTATTCCTTAGCAATCGTATTACTCTGCACTTGCGCTGCAGTAGCACGCATTCGAGTTGCCACTTTGCTTTATCAAAAATATAACCTCGCGAAAGTTTTTTTGTTTCTTGCTTTACAGCAGCCATTGCATGCTAATTTCATACCATGACCGCTAAGGATTAATTATCTTTGCGAATATCAAAGAGCCGTAACTACCATATAATCTGTTGATGTCAGCGTTATCTGACTATGCAGTCTAAATAAGTACT